ATCCTCCTACAAACCCCAGGAGGGTTGGAATGTCACCCCCACTCTACAGATGAGGAAACTGAGGCTCAAAGAAGGGAGGTAACCTGCACAGGTCACCTAGGAATTAAACCCAAAGCCAGAACATTTTCTCCAACAACATCTGTATCTGAGGAAGGGGGTGTGCTCCTGGTGCGTCCTTGGCTTCCTACAGGAGTCGTCTCCTGGTGTGTCCTTGGCTTCCTACAGGAGTCACTTTAGATAAGAATTTAGATCCCAGATTCCCTGGACCTGAACTCCTCGTACCTAGTCTCAGCTCCTGAGAGGTCCTGGGAATCTGCATTGTGAACAAGCTCTCCTGGTGATTTTTATCCATCCAGGGAGGCTGAGATCCTGGCCTACCCTTGCCCCCAGACTACTAGTCTACTACTACTACCAACCAGTCCTACTAGTCTACTACTACTGCTAGTCCTACTGATGTAAGTATACACAGTAAGTATTAAGTTCTTCTGAGCAATAAGAAAACCACAACCAGACCAGGCGCGGTGGCTCACACCTGTAATCCCAGCACTATGGGAGGCCGACGTGGGTAGATCACCTGAAGGCAGGAGTTAGAGACCAGCCTGGCCAACATAGGGAAACCTCATCTCTACTAAAAATACAAAAATTAGCTGGACATGGTGGCACATGCCTGTAAACCCAGCTACTTGGGAGGCTAAGGTAGGAGAATTGCTGGAACCCAGGAGGCAGAGGTTGCAGTTAGCCAAGATCACACCACTGCACTCCAGCTTGGGTGACAGAGTGAGACCCTGTCTCAAAAAAAAAAAAAAGAAAAGAAAAAAGAAAAAGAAAACCATAACCAATACATGTTTATTTCCAGACCTAGTGTTCATTACTCTGTTCACTTGACTTATTTCATCCTCACAAAAACCTCTAGAGGGAGGGACTCATTTTATCTCCATTTTCCACAGGAGGAAACAGGCTCAGAGATGTGAAGGAACCTACCCAAGGCCACACAGCAAACAAGTGGCACAGCGGCTCTCCACCCTGTGACCTCACCCTCCTCATGCTGGGCAAAGGCCCCACCGAGGTTCTGTAGGTCCTGTCAATGGTGAGGACCAGCACAGAGGGAGAGCCTGGGGGTTGAGGGGGGGCACTGAGGCCTGTGGTTTTATTCATGACCCCCCACCCCCATCCCACCAATACCCCTCTGCTCCATAAAACCACTGGAGCTCAAAAGCCCTGAAGATTCAGCTGGTCAAAAGCCACATTTAACAGAAGGGGAAAATGAGGCACCAAGCTGTAGGGGCCAGTCAGGACACGGGCCAAGGAGCGGGCAGAGCAAGTCGGAGGAGTCCCCCAAGCAAGGGGGAAGGCAACATTCCGATAACTTCCCAAAACCCCCAGAACGACCCCAGCACATGGGGCTCAGGGTGGTGACCAGAGGAGTCCATCCAGCTCAGGCCCCAGGCCGGCAGATGAGCTCAGCGCTCCAGCTGCAGGGTGGGGAGGGGAGGGAGGGAAGGGGCAAGAGGGACGCTGATTGGCTAATTCAAATCCCAACAGAAAGGGCCCCTCCTCTCCGCCCGGACTCCGAGAGCCACCCACCCGCTCCCTACACCAGCTCCCCACACCCTCCTCCCCACCGCTGCTCTGGCCCCACCCACGGAGGCACCGCAGCCCCGCAGCTCACTCCAGGTCCCAGCCTCTCCTCCGCCCCTTCCTCATCTTTCTGAAGTCTGACATTTTTTTGTGTCCCTCCCATGAATCCTCCACTATACAGGCCCAAACGCAGATTCCTCTGAGCTTCTCCAGCTATTCCCTCCCCCTCCCCACCTCCTCCCTCCTGCTTTCCCTCACCACCCCCCACCCCTCCCAACCCAGTGATTGGAATCTGAATATGCCCGGGAGCTGCCCTGTCAAGTAGAAGTACGCTTTGAACTTGGAAACTAACTCATTCTTTTTTTTTCTTTTAGAGAGAGACAAGGTTTCTCTCTGTCTCCCAGTCTGGAGTACAGTGGTGCAATCATAGCTCACTGCAACCTTTAACTCCAGGACTCAAGCAATCCTCTGGCCTTGGCCTCACAAATAGCTGGGACTATAGGCACTTACCACCACACCCTGCTAATTTTTTTTTTTTTTTTTTTTTTTTGAGACAGAGTTTTACTCTGTCACCCAGGCTGGATTGCAATAGTGTGATCTCAGCTCACTGCAACTTCGGCCTCCCAGGTTCAAGCGATTCATCTGCCTCAGTCTCCTGAGTAGTGGGGAGTACAGACCTGTACCACCACACCCGGCTCATTTTGTATTTTTAGTAGAGCTGGGGTTTCACCATGTTGGCCAGGCTGGTCTTAAACTCCTGGCTTCAGGTGATCTATCCGCCTTGGCCTGCCAAAGTGCTGGGATTACAGGTGTGAGCCACCACCCCCAGCCTCTGCTAATTTTTTTTATTTTTTGTAGAGACAGGGTCTTGCTATGTTGCCCAGCCTGATTTCCAACTATTGGCCTCTAGCGATCCTCCCACTTCAGCCTCCCAAAGCGCTGGGATTCTGGGATTACAGGCATGAGCCTCCACCTCTGGCGGAGACATATCCATTGGTTGTCTCATGTGTAGAATAGCACTATAATCCCACTGTGCACCAACAAGACCACAGGAGGCGCCAGTGGCTTCCTGGAGCAGGCACTCCTGTTTACTTCCCCTGGCCCTGCTGGCCTCTGAAATCCTGGCTCTCCCTGGTCCCTTAATGAGGGTTTTTCTTTTATATTCCACTGGAAAGGCTCTAGGGCTTGAGTTTGCCAGTGTCTTCCAACAGAAGGGACTTCTCCCCAGGTAAGTGTGTGACCGACTCCCATCCTGCCGCTCCCCTGGGTCCTCACAGGGGCCATCTTCTGCCACCTTCCTCTCTACCCCTTCCTGGCTCAGGCCCACTTCTCCCTTGGACCTTTGCTCAGAAGTCACCCCTGCAGGAAGCCTCCCTAGGACCCCATCCCAGTTCCTCCTGTCACTGGATCACACTGGGCTGAGTTCCGAGGGCAGTGGGCCGGGCCTGGGGGCCCCGGAGTTCTCACCACCAGACCAGAGCTTCCGAAGACAGGCAGGGGGACATCCCACCTGCCAACGTCCCACCCACCCTTCCCCTGCTTCCTGAAGCAGACAGCAGTGAGGCCAAGCTGGAAGCTTGGGAGGCTGATGAGCCTGGGCTCTGCCACCAACATGCTGAGCGCTCCTTGACCTTGGGCAGGTATTGCCTTTCTCTGAACCTCAGATTCCTCATAAGAAAATGGAAATAATAATAATAGCTAACATTTTTGAGACCTTATGCTGGCATTTTACCCACATTATTTCTTTTTTTTTTTTTTTTTTTGGGAGACAGAGTCTCACTCTGTCACCTAGGCTGGAGTGCAGTGGTATGATATCAGCTCACTGAAACCTCCGCCTCACAGGTTCAAGTGATTCTCCTGTCTCAGCCCGAGTAGCTGGGATTACAGGCGGGAACCACCACACTCAGCTAATCTGTGTATTTTTAGTAGAGATGGGGTTTCACCATGTTGGCCAGCCTGGTCTCGAACTCCTGATCTCAGGTGATCTGCCCACCTCAGCCTCCCAAACTGCTGGGATTACAGGCATGAGACACTGTGCCCAGCCCACATTATTTCATTTAATCTTCATAGAACCCTGTGACATAGAGATTGCTGCAAACCCATTTTACGGATGAAGACACTGAAACAGGTGACTTTGCTCAAAATAATAAAGTTCAGATATATTGGAGCCAAGATTTAAACCAGGCTTGACCAACTCTAGGCCTTCACTACTTTCTTTTTTTTTTGTTTTGTTTTGTTTTTTTTGAGACCGAGTCTCACTCTGTCGCCCAGGCTGGAGTGCAGTGACACGATCTTGGCTCAGTGACACGATCTTGGCTCACTGCAAGCTCTGCCTCCCAGGTTCACGCCATTCTCCTGCCTCAGCCTCCTGAGTAGCTGGGACTACATGTGCCTGCCACCATGCCCGGCTAATTTTTTGTATTTTTAGTAGAGACGGGGTTTTGCTGTGTTAGCCAGGATGGTCTTGAGGCCTTCACTACTTTTCATTAACATAATTAAGGAACCTCTGCCTGGCACCATGGCTCATCCTTGTAATCCCAGCACTTTGGGAGGCCAAGGCAGGAGGATCACTTGAGCCCAGGAGTTTGAGACCAGCCTGGGCAACATAATAAGACCCCATCTCTACAACATATAGAAAAATTAGCCAGGTGCGGTGGTGTGTGCCTGTAGTCCCAGCTACTCAGGAGGCTGAGGTGGGGGGATCCCTGGAGCCCAGGAGGTGGAGGCTACAGTGAGCTATGATCACATCACTGCCTGATGCCTAGGCAACAGAGCAAGACCTTGTCTCTAAAAAAACAAACAAGGAAAAGAAACCTCCATGGAACTGTGCAGGGACAAATTGGAGCCTAACACCAGGTGTGTGGTTGATAATAAATAGTAGCTTCTCAGCCCGGCGCGGTGGCTCATGCCTGTAATCCCAGCACTTCGGGAGGCCAAGGCGGGTGGATCACCTGAGGTCAGGAGTTGGAGACCAGGCTGGCCAACATGGTGAAACCCTGTCTCTACCTAAAAATACAAAAATTAGCTGGGTGTGGTGGCCGGCGCCTGTAATCCTAGCTACTCGGGAGGCTGAGGCAAGAGAATCGCTTGAACCTGGGAGGCGGAAGTTGCAGTGAGCCAAGATCGCACCATTGCATTCCAGCCAGGGCAACAAGAGAGAAACTCTGTCTCAAAGAAAAAAAAAAAAACAAAACAGTAGCTGCTGGTAGTAGGAAGGATTCATATTATAATATCATTTTGGGGCACCCTTGATAGAAGCCCTGTGGATTCACCAGGAATTCCTACTTAGATGAGGAAACTGAGGCCCAGAGAGGTAGTAGAACTTGGCCACGGACACACGGAAGTGACATGCAAGGCCAACCTGGGCCTCACTTAGACTTGTGGTCTCATCCAGCAACAAGGGCACCTGGGCCCAGGCTGACCTTGACATCCTGCTCCAGACCACGGATAAGCTCGCCGTCCACCTGGCCAGTCTGGGCGGCACGGAGACTGCGGCGCTCAGCTTTGCGCAGCCGGTATTGCAGGATGCGGCAGGTCTTGCTGGCCTGGTCCAGCTGCTGTCGCAGCTCCTGCAGCTGATACACGTCCTCCTCCATATAGACGTCTCGCATCTCCAGCATCTCGGCCCGCAGCTCCTCAATCTCATCCTGTGGAGGGAAGGAAGGGTCAGGTTACTGGGCCCACAGTAGCAGCTAGGAGGCCTGAGTGCTGACCACACCCAGTGCTGAATGAAGCACAGTGGGGGACCTGGATGTGGCAGGCTGAATGACAGACCTCCAAAGATGTCCATGTCCACATTCCCAGAATCTGTGAATGTTACCTTACGTGGCAAAAGGGACTTTGCAAATATGAGTAAATTAAGGATCCCAAGACAGGGAAACAGAAGCAGAGGCTGGAGTGAGATGCTTTGATGCTGGAGGAAGGGGCTGTGATGATGGAGGGAGGGGGTGCCTCTAGAAGGCAAGGAAAACGATTTTGCCCTGGGGTCTTCCCAAAAAATGCAGTCCTGCCCAAACCTTGACACCTCCAGGATCAGAGGATAATAATCCGGTGTTCTTTTTTTTTGAGACAGTCTCACTCTGTTGCCCAGGCTGGAGTGTAATAGCGTGATCTCAGCTCACTGCAACCTCCTCCTCCCTACTTCAAGCGATTCTCCCTGCCTCAGACTCCCAAGTAGTTAGGATTACAAGTGCCCACCACCACACCCAGCTGATTTTTTATATTTTTAGTGGAGATGGGGTTTCGCCATGTTGGCCAGGCTGGTCTTGAACTCCTGACCTCAAGCGATCTGCCTGCCTTGGCCTCCCGAAGTGCTGGGATTCATTACAGGTGTGAGCCACCGCACCCAGCCTGGTGGTCTTTTAAGCCACTAAATTTGTAGTGATTTGTTACAGAAGCAACAGGAACACACTGGGGAAGCAGGAGATGCCATTTAAGAAACACGGATGAAGCCGGGCATGGTGGCTCATGCCTGTAATCCCAGCACTTTGGGAGGCCGAGGCAGGCAGATCACAGATCGTGAGGTCAGGAGATCGAGACCATCCTGACTAACACGATGAAACCCCGTCTCTACTAAAAATACAAAAAAATTGCCGGGCCTGGTGGTGGGCGCCTGTAGTCCCAGCTACTCAGGAGGCTAAAGCAGGAGAATGGCATGAATGCAGGAGGCGGAGCTTGCAGTGAGCCGAGATCGCGCCACTGCACCCCAGCCTGGGCGACAGAGCAAGACTCCATCTCAAAAAAAAAAAAGAAATATGGATGAGCATCAACTATGTAAGTACTAGGCCCTGTGCTAAGTGCAGGGGTAGGGAGGGACAGTGGGTCCAACCCCCTCTATATATTCTGTATGGAGCCCCAAGTTTCACCAGGAAGATACACAGTAAACCAGCAAATAATAATAATAACAAAAAACACCTGGCTGGGCTCAGTGGCTCACACCTGTAATCTCAGCACTTTGGGAGGCCAAGGCAGGTGGATCATTTGAGGTCAGGAGTTTGAGACCAGCCTGGCCAACATGGTGAAACCCTGTCTCTACTAAAAACACCAAAAAAAAAAAAAAAAAAAAAAAAAAAAAGAGCCAAGCATGGTGGTGCGTGCCTGTAATCCTAGTTACTCGGGAGGTTGAGGCATGAGAATCACTTGAACCCAGGAGGCAGAGGTTGCAGTGAGCTGAGATTATACCATTGCACTCCAGCCTGGGAGACAGAGTGAGACCCTATCTCCAAGAAAGAAATAAAAATAAAAAAACCTCAGATGCTGTTAAGTGCTATAAAGACAAAACCAAAACGAAACCAAACAACGTGAGTTATATGACAGAGTGATGTGGAGGGTGCTATGTTAGGGGACATGATCAGGGAGGCCATCTCTACAAAAGAGACATTTGAGCTGAGACAAGAAGGAAGAGCCAGAAAAGCTAGGGGGAGAGGTTATTCCAGGCAGAGGGAACAGTGCGTGCCAAGGCTCAGAGGCAGGAAAGATACAGCAAGGTACAGCAAGGCGTGTGTGTGTCAAGGTACAGCAAGGAGGGCAGGGCAGCTACTGGGTTAATTTCAGGCTGAGGAAACTGACAGGAGTCAACCACCTGGGGCTTTGAAGGGCAAAATAGAATCTGGGTTTGGGGTTTGCTTGTTTTGAGAGGGGGTCTCACTCTGTCACCCAGGCTGGAGTGCAGTGACAAAATCTCAGCTCACTGCAACCTCTGCCTCCCAGGCTCAAGCCACCCTCCCACCTTAGTCGCTCAAGCCACCCTCCCACCTTAGTCGCTCAAGCCACCCTCCCACCTTAGTCTCCCAAGTAGTTGGGACCAAAGGCACACAACCCCACATCCCGCGCGCGCGCGCGCGTGTGTGTGTGTGTGTGTGTGTGTGTGTGTGTGTGTAGAGACAGGGTTTTGCCATGTTGCCCAGGCTGGTCATGAATTCCTGAGCTCAAGCAATCTGCCCAGCTGGGATTACAGGCATGAGCCACCATGCCTGGCCTGGGTTTGCATTTTAAGCAGAGAGGGTAACAGTATGACCTCACTTCCTCAAGGCAGCTTCTGCTACCGCTGTCATCAGTTTCCAGCTGTTCCTCACTTCTCCTTTATAATCATTATTAGCAAATCTGCAATTCTATGTTTAATAGTTTGTCTTCCAGCCAAACCATGAGTGCCTGGAGGCCATCCCATTTGGTCTAGCAGGCAGTAGGCTCCCAACAAATATTAACTGAATGGGTGCATGCATGTTTAGTTAGGTCAAAAACAACAAAAAGACATACCAATGTGCAACAATCATTAGATACTAAGTGTAAAGGGGGAGGGAAGTAGAATTACGCAGAAGAAATGCATAATTATTATGTCTCATACAAAGGTGCAAACCCAGTCACAAATGGGAATAATACTTACCCTTAGTGTGACCGAATGATTTAAATAAGATTGTATACTAAGAAGGGAAACTGGCCAGGTGCAGTGACTCATGCCTCTAATCCCGGCACTTTGGGAGGCCAAGGCAGTCAGATCGCCTGAGGCCAGGAATTCAAGACCAGCCTGGCCAACATGGTGAAACCCTGTCTCTACTAAAAATACAAAAATTAGCCGGGCGTGGTGGTGGGCGCCTGTAGTCCCAGCTACTCGGGAGGCTGAGGCAGGAGAATCGTTGGAACCTGGGAGGCAGAGGTGGCAGTGAGTCAAGATCATACCACTGCACTCCAGCCTGGGCAGCAGAGCCAGACTCTGTCTCAAAAAATAAAAAAAGAGAAACAGAGTCACCAGGGATGAATGAACTGCTAAAGGCATCCCTGAGGAGCCAGGGGGAAGCACCGAGGATGGCGGTGATGGAAGCAGGGGTTGGGGGGTCCAAGGGGCAAAAAGGCCTCTGCGGGTCCTGGAGAGGGCAGATCTGGAGAGCCGGATTCCTCAGCCCTCCCTACCTGCCTTTCCCCAAAGGAAACGGAAAGGAAGGGACTGGGAAGTGGGGTCTCGTATTCCTCCCTCCTCATGCTGCCACTGGGAGGAGGGAGCATCCACTCTGCTCCCATCGGAGGGACACCTCTGGCTTCTGTCCGAGCACCCCTCACTATACCCCCGCTGGGGCTGGGAGGAAGGGGGGAACTGACCTTGTGCCTGGGAAAGGAACAAACATGGGGGTCTCTCTCTTCACTCCTGCCTGCCCAGAGGGCAAGGACAGCTCTGCTCTTCCAATGGTCAGCCTGGTAAGATGGCTCCCTGTGAGGAAGGGGGTATGGCTGGGGTTGCCTCCGCCCCCTGAGGCTGGATGGATTTAATTCAGGGTCGGGGTTAGGGAGCCCTACCCTCCAGGCTAGTTCTCAGAAGCTTGGGAGGTTTTCCTGCCCATCGGTTTGACTCCTGGGGCTGCAGAGGAACAGTCACTCGGCCAGGCCCCCCCCACCCCCATCCTCACAGACACATAGACTCACCACCCCACCAGCACACCATGTGGACAGAACAAGTGGAAAGGAGGAAGTGGAACAGTAAATGATCACACCAGTTAAAAAATGAGGAAGTGAAGGATCCACGCGCTGTTTCAGGCAGCTGATGAAGGAAGCATGAAGGAAAGAGAACTCAGGAAGTGCAAGCCAGTCGGCTAAATCCAGACTAGGCCAGCCTCCAGATGGATCTGTGTTCAAATCCTAGCCATGCCGATCATCAGCACCCCACTTATTCTCTCTAGAAAGTTAAAATGACAGGATATGGTGATGGAAAGAATAGGAGGGTCTAAGTGGACCTCAAGCTCAGGCTGAACCAAGGGGAAATGCACACAACCCTATGATGCTGGGCTACATTAACAGATGCACGACATTCAGATCATGGGAGGTGACGTCTCTCACATAAGATGACACCCACAGCGCTAGAGTCATTTTTGGAATCACTTTTTTACCTTTTAAATAACTGATTTTCTTATTTATAAAACAGGGCAGGCCGGAGGCGATGGCTCACGCCTGTAATCCCAACACTTTGGGATGCCAAGACCAGCAGATCATGAGGTCAGAAGTTTGAGACCAGCCTGGCCAACATGGTGAAACCCCATCTCTACTAAAAATACAAAAATTATCCGGTTGTGGTGGTGCACGCCTGTAATCCTAGCTACTCAGGAGGCTGAGGCAGGAGAACTGCTTGAACCCGGGAGGCGGAGGTTGCAGTGAGCCGAGATCATGCAACTGCACTCCAGCCTGAGCAACAGAGCGAGACTCTTGTCTTGGAAAAAAAGCAAAGTAAAATAAAATAAAATAAAGCATTGGCAGGGCACAATGGCTCACCCCTGTAACCCCAGCACTCTGAGAAGCTGAGGCAGGAGGATCACTTGAGCCCAGGAGTTCAAGATCAGCCTGGGTAACATAGTGAGACCTCATCTCTACAAAAAATAACAACAACAACAACAATAGTAATATATTACATCCAAACAGGCCGTGACTTTAAAAATGGCTATCATTGGCCAGGTGCAGTGGCTCATGCCTGTAATCCCAGCACTTTGGGAGGCTGAGGCGAATGGATTACCTGGCCTGGAAGTACCCAGCTACTTGGGAGGCTGGGGTGGGAGGATTGTTTGAGCCCAGGAGGTTGGGGTTACGCTGAACTATGATTGTACCACTGCACTCCAGCCTGGGCAACAGAGCAAGAACCTGTCTCTAAAAAAACAAAAAAAGTAAAACA